CTGGACCCTCATTACCTACACTGCTCTTCTAGTCCTCCCCGTGGATCAACTGATCTCCATGACACGGTCACACTGGAAAACTGAAGTCGTTGAAAAGAGAATCAGAACCCAGAAGTAAAACCCTCAAACCTATAATCTGCCCAAAACATAATTGATTAATTAATCAGAAGTCTTAAAAAAACTTACCTTTAAAATTTGGTCTGATTCTAGCATCATACCCCGATGTCCTTCCCATCAATTTGTCCAAAAAATCTGAAGGAGACAGGGTCTGTGAGGGGGATTTTCCAGATCTTGAATCATGTTCTTTACAGAAAGTCGTCCTAAATAAATTATTAGCCACCATTAGCTAATATTTAGCTTGAATTATATTAAAGTCATAGAGGAATTATAGCACTAAATAAAATTGTCTCAATTCAGTGAATGTAGCAATTAATATTTTTATAGAACAATATATTCTAATTTTTATCTGAAAACTTTATTCTAGAAATAAAAATGAGCTTAAGGTAGTATGTATGGACACAATTTGCTATTTAGAAAAAAAAAAAACCCTCAGTTTTAAAAAGAAATTCATTACAGCTTTAACTTTAAAAGATTCAATTTACTCTTCATCTTAATGTGTAGAGCCATCTTCCAGGGACTTTGATATACTATTTCATATCATTGCTTTAATTACATGTATGCTGTTAAAACTATATGTTAACACTGGTTCAAGGTGGCCTTAAACTTCCAAACAGTAGCTGGCAACACTCTCCAAGCAACACTGAAAAATATTGGTTTTGTTAATGTTGGGAAGGATATAAATACAAAAAAAAAAAATGTTTTTTACAGATGATGCCCAACAAAGATTTTAAATCATGCTAGTGAATGTCTGGATTCTTCCGCGACATGGAAAAAAAGGTTCCAGAGTCAGTCACATCTGATCTTCGGGCTTTTTTAACAATCAACACTGAGTAATAAAATTTATCAGTATTATCACCAGCTGGTATTTATATGCAAGCTCTTGGAACACATCTCTGTTTTCGGGATTTAAGAGCCAACTTGTGGTACCGCATCATGCATGTGAAACGCTGTGTACATAGCGTACTACACATTGCAAACACATTATATATTGCAGAGAAAGACAATTTAGGAGTTCCCCGTGGTTGTTCCCTAGGGAAAAAGAAACTAGAATGAAATGGTCGTATTTGCTGTGTAGAGGCACAGATTTAATCATGAAGCATTATTATGATTCTTAAATAACCAATTCCATTCTATCTAAGTTTCAATGTAATCTTTGAGCTATATCAAAAGTAGTTCTATGACTGTGTCTTCTTAACCACTCTCTGTTTATATATTTGCCCAAAGGGAACCACTCAGTTTCAGGAACATTTTGTGGGTTTCTCATGCATCTATATGCAAGTATAAACAAGTTAGATGTACAGGTGAGTGTCTGAAATGAGAAAATATCCAGTCCTTTACAAAAGCACCAGAATTGTTAAAAGGCAAGGTGAGAGCAAATTCTCATGGCGTGATTCCCCACTTTTTTTCAGGTTCCATTTCCAGGGGGCAGTTGCTTCTTTTTGCTTTTGTCAATGACATGGTACCATTACAAAATATCTTTAATTTTAAATACATAATAAATTATATTCTCCACTTAAATACTAAAAACATTCAGTTAAGATAATAAAAACTGGAAAATTAATCCAGTGCACTTAGCTGGGATGTTCCTGTACAAATTACTTCTGTTTTCATTCAAAGCCCACTAGTTATGAGTTCCCCTGTGATCCCAGACTCAGGAATATAAACACTATTTCACTCTGTCACTGTATATATACCTTATTACTCACAGAAAAACACTTTATATGTGTACATATAGATACACAGCAGCATACTGTATGAGAATGAATCTCAGCTACAATTGTGTTTTGGTTAATAAGACTGATCTGTTTGCTTTGTACCGCAAAAAGTCAATAGCTGACGCAAAAGCTCATGAAACATTAAAAAAAAATTTAGAAACAACAATCTCATGCACTGGTAATTTAAGTGAGTACAGTACTGGTCTGTTCCAGGGTATCTGCAAAATCAGAGGGCTGATTCTCTAATTTCAAATTACTACTGGTTCAATCATTTCCAAAGCTTGAAGAGGAAAGAAGCTAGGCAACTTCCTAAACAACCTCTGGTGGGAGCAGAGAATCTACATCTTGGAAGAAAAACTGAAGAAAATGTTTTTAGCTATATTGATACTCAGTGAAAAAAACCATGTATTTGAATCAGAGAATTGGAAAACAGATCACCCAAACTTGAGATTATTATTTTTTGTGTTTGTTACCAAGCAACGAGTCTCCGAGTGTCAAAGGGATAGCCTCTACCGAAGGAACATTAAATACTCTCAAATACAGCAAACAAACTAGGTTAATGTGACGTAGTAACTTCATAGTTATGATTTCCACAACCTTTTGATAAATATCATCACATAGAGTCATATCACCTACCTGAAGTGGTTTGCCTCTAAGAAAAATGCGAACAAGGTTGTCAAAATTTTCACTAGCTGTCGGTTCATTCCTCCTGCTTTCTGTGACGATTTGGAAAATATCCCAGAAACGATTCCAGAGAGATGCAGGGAAAAAGTAAGCTGGTGCTGCCTAGATTCCCGAATTCAGCAATAATTTAATTTTCTTGACAATTAGGAAGAGAAGGTCTGGATCGCTACAAACTGGGGGTAAAAAAGAAATGCCAGTCCTTGGAATCATGGTCAGGTCAAGCCTAGGCTCATCTCCAGCAGCCAGCACAAAAGAGACAAAGCA